CCCCAAAACCCCAAAACCCCAAAACCCCAAAACCCCGTCTGAGTTGTTAAATGTTGAAATTAGAATGCATATAGCTTACTGTTATGTTGGATGTTTAGTTGTTTGAGGGTTTTGTACTGCAGCTTTAGCTCGCAACCGTTAAAGAACAACTTACTCTTTTGAGTATCAATAATATCCTCCTCGAGGAGAGATTCTTTGAGACCTCTCACTGTTTCATCTGGTTTGATTTCTTTAGTAATTATTTGACCTCCATTGATATGAATCTGAATTGTTATCTTCTTGTCTTCTAAGTAGAGTACATCACCCTGGTTATAATTATAGAATTTCAAGCTTCTTCTCTCATTTAAAGGTCTGCCTTTTAGAATCATATCTTTATCCACCACTTTGTTTCCAAAAATGGACTCTATCTTTCCTTTCAGTTGAGATATTGGAGCATCAAGATTTGTTTGCACTTTGTACCTGATTCCATCATCTGTGTGAATATCTAAAGTAGCCTGCTCAGCTAATGACATACTTTTAGTTCATAATTTCAAAATGCTATTGTTCTGAATCTTGTAGTCATGGATCAACTTATCATCTCTAAGTTCTTTGAAGAAGTAGCTCAGCTGTTGCTCTTCAACAGTGATCCCTTCTTCCTCTGCAATTCTGAGCTTAACGTTGCTTATTCTATCATAGGGATCAACTTTCAGTGGGATAGACTTTCCATTCGGAAGCTTGACTAAAATCTGTAACTTTCTCACCCGAACTTCATCAACTTGGGTGCAATAAGTAAACTTGTTTATCTTCTTTTTAAACTTTCTTTCTCTTCGATGCTGAGGCCCTCTAGACCGTCTTCTAGATAGCTTTTCTCACTTCTTTCTTAGTTCCTTGCATTCCGTTAATAAGGTATCATTTTCAACTATTTTGGACTTGATGGTTTCATACTCTGAAACTGTGTAGAAGATACTCATGATGTCAATCAAGGAGTTGGAAGGGTCCTCTGGGTCTTCAACCTTACTCAACTCCTTTAGGAGATGAATATGAACCTTACGCATCTCAGTATCAACTGATTTATTACATTTAGGATTTCTGAGAGTTTTAACTAGGTAATCCACTGCTGAGCAGATCTCTTGGATGTATGAAGCATTCTCTTGGTTAACTTCCTTAAAGTTTGATTCAACTTCCTCGATCAAGCAGAGATACTGCTGATAGTATTGTACGTATTCCTTCTTTGCTCGGTCATATCACTTCTGAGAGATGAAGTTCTTCGAATACTCCAGGTATAGGGTTCCTTCGTGAAGAAATCTCCGTGAGAGCTTGAGTTGTTTAATAACTCTTTCTTTCTTTTTCACAATGTTCATGAGTACTTTTGAGTTTGTTAGTTCAGCACAGTCACTACACAGCATCTGGCTGTCCTGAGTGAACACATCTACACTATCGACTCCACAATGACAGTTCAAATTTGCTGGCTCAAGCGTTTCTATCTTGACGGGATCCTTGCTAAGGTTTGTGTTACTGAAAAATACCTTGTTTAGGTCGATATTAAGAGTTCTTTGCATCGGTCAAAATAGCTTACAAAATTTGGTAACCTCTGGCAATGTGTATGTTCTTAGTGGAATCACTAAAATATTTTCAATAAGTCCTTAATCCTAGGGGTTTTGGGGTTTTGGGGTTTTGGGG